TTATTATTATTATTATTATTACCATTGTTATTCTTCTTCTTATTCTTCTTTTTCTTCTTATTCTTCTTATTATTATCATGCTGTCCAGCCATAGGAGTCGCCAATTGTGTAAGTTGTTATTGGAAAGTGATAATGGGATAAAAGACATTTTGAGCTCTCCCCATTCACAATTTACTTGAACTTTTACACCCTTTTGGGGTCTTCACTTCTTGTTGGGCTACATTTGGGTCAGTGTGACGTCATTGCCTTTGACGCTTTCAACTTTTTTATAAGGAAAAGGAAAGCAATCATGTAAAGTTGTAGCCTACTGAGTACGAACGCCACTCAGGGATTTCTGAATGTGGTTTCTGGGGGAGGAGTGAAAGGATTCTCTTGGTGTGTTTTTGTTGGTGTTGTTGTTGTTGTTATTTTGTGTCCTCCCAATAAATGATATCTTTTATCTTTTAATAGGCGAGTGCTTCCACTCTATTTTTCAGGGCACACTCGAACATTGAGGGACAGATGTTTGTGAAATGGCACTACTAAACTTAAGAATAATATTCATCGTCGAGGAATCTAACTGGCTTTCGCGTGCAAGGTGGGAGTGAGGGAGGGGGGGGGTTATAAAGATTAAATCAATGACAGTGGGTGGTTGGCGGGTGCTTTGGTATGGTTTACTCCTTTTTTCCTATCAAACATATAGTCCCTATCTCTCCTCCTCACTTTTCGTGTTTGTTATTCTCTTGTAACACCTCTAATATTTGACATTTGTTTGACCTACTTGTGTTGCGAGTGCCGTAAAACTCTTACGAAAACAAACAAGTGGCTCATTATCCCATTCTTGTAGACACGTAACGTGTCGGTATTACAGAACGAATATTCCGATATGATTTCAATCTCTATAGAATGGGTCTTAATTAGAGATGTTTCAACTTCTCGTACACGTCAGAGTGTTCCTCACTTTATAAAGTACTTCACTAGTACACACATAATGATGAATACAAAACAGGCTTGCAAGTTTTCTTAAACATTCAGTTTGCTGTGTACGTGTAGGCTTGTTTCAGGACAATTTTCTGGTCAGCTTTTCTTTGTATGCACTGCTAATGTAATAAATCATAAGTTCCTCTGGTGTTCTTTAAATATCTAAAGAGCCTCAAAAACTCAAATAATTCTTGACGTGATAATAACAGTGTAGACGATGACGAAAACAACAGTAACAACAGAAGAAAAACAAACAATGATAGCGACACCGCTACCGCCGCCACCTCGCATAGGAGCAAAAACAACAACAAGAATAACACCAACAAGGATAACGATAACAGTATAAAGTAAGTTTCATGCAAAACAATGAAGATAGCGTATTATCTTTGATGACAGTAACAACAGCAGCACAAACAAAGACAACAAAGACAAGAAATAAACACATGTAGGAGAACAGACATCAAATTATAAATAAGGTACAATGAATAAACGAAAACATGTCACACTTCTGTAACACATTTTTATTTTAATGCTTAATAACACAATCATTACTGTTTCAGAACTTTAGACATAGTAAGCTTAAGTGTAAAGAGGCTTGATCTCCGAGAGGTTGAAAAACAAAGTCAAAAGAGGCAATGGAGGAAGCATTGTACAGGTCGATAAAGGTATCACCAAACTTGCATGCTCACATCCCTGCACTTCAGTGCTATATTATAATGACAATCAAACGTTTCTTTATTACATTATGATAACATTCTTCTTGTTTTATGGAAAACAGAAAATCGAAAAATTCACACCATATAACTAAAAACAGTAATTTAGATATTAATGTTTTTGAGTTTCTGGTCAAGAAGGGGTGGGGGGAGGGGAAGGGGGTGTGGTCACATTCACTTTTTGATGAGATTTCATCAGAAAGGAATTAGAACAACACCCTCTGTAACTGATACATTTTCATTGTAAAGAAATTAGTGTTACATCCGCTTATGCCAGTCGTGAGCAGGTGATTTGAGTGAACAATTTGAAAATAAACTTTGAAATGGAAAATAAGTAAATCATCATAGTATGCTTGCACAAATCTACAAATTGAACTTGGGTGACTTTTAACTTGCAAAGTAAACAAACATTCTTAGAAGTTCGAGACGTGTTCAGCTGAATACTGGAAGGTTTCCAAAATTAAAAGTAATGAATGTAAACGCGAACACTTTGAACCTACCAGCACTGATTCACGTTGTTTTTTAGTCTGCAGATACAGTAATAATTTGGGAAACGGTGATCAAATGTACAGTTGCAACCATGGCTGCTTGATTCGACAAAGAAAAGAAACTACAATATAACGTGACATGTGTACACGTATGGCAAATTAAAACTTTGCTGTAAAAATATTCTAAAATAAGAATATTGTTTAAAACATGCAATGCATTCTCGTTCTTGTAGGATATTAGAAGCTGTGGGTTCCTTTAGCGGACAAAACTGACGAGGTAAGCGCAACCAACACCTTTCTCTCAGAGAAACACGACCACACAGGTTTTTACAAACGTTTCAAGAAAAACGTCACACAGGAAATGAGGTTATAGAAGATTCCATTAGTTTATTCTTTTGGTGAGTATACTTGATGACTCTAAAAGTGTACTAACACTAGAGGTCAGTCTATGTTTCTCACCAAATTCAAGCCATCTGCAATAACAACAGCAGCAGCAACAACAACAACAACAATGACAATAACAACAACAACAACAGAATCAACAACGACAACCAAAACAACAATAACAGAAACAATGTCGGGTTAATCGATCCTCTCTCTTACCATTTCACATTTAAATTTTTGCATTCTTAGAAGGGAAATATTCACGTTAGATAAGTTATTTTCCAGTAGCATTTTTAGCAATGTGTTTTGGTGGAACCAGTGTCAACATGGTCAGTTCTGTTCTGGGACCTGATTTGCGCTACAAACAGAAACAGTACAAGGACAGAGCGAAGGGAAGTCAGTTGAATTAGATGCTTTCGTGATATCAGGTTATTATTACTCTTGAGGCTACAGGGATATTCACTAACCATCTTTGAGCTGATTATACGCCCTACGTAAAGTAGTTCCTTGTTGGACTTATCTATACTCCAGATCGGTTCACATGGTGTTAGAGTTCAATTCAGTTATCACAAACAGGAATCAAACCTTTTTTTTTTCAGGATAAACTAACTCTTGATCATGTACGTGTATTTCCCGAAAAGTCTAGTAATGTAGATTATAGGATAATCCAATGAGCACTTGATTTTCCTAAACATTTCTGCTTGTTCATATATAAAGTGTCAGATTGCGTAGATTTATTGACAAATTGCATCTCTCGAATTTTAGAAAAAGAAAAGAAGAAGGTTTACAGCTTGTATGTAACGCTATCACACTTAGATTAACTTTGAACAACATACGCTTGTATTTTCGAGTAGTCAGATGTCATGAAAATGTTCTATCCCTTGGGCCGTTTAGGTTATTTGCAACCGCATCTGTGCCCAGAGACAGCCTCAAACAACAAGAGAAAACATTAACTAATTATATAGTCTCCACTTTAAAACCCTCATAGAGTTGAACGGCCTCGTGGCAATGCATTACACCTTACAATATATCACTGTGCTGATTTACAGTGAAAAAAGCCAGCTTTAAAACAAAATTTGAAAGGACATGAAAGGTGACAGAGATAAACACGCATGCATATAAAATAATCTGTTCATTGTCATTTCAATCCATTCAGAGAACAAAGAAACAGAAAAGACAGTCTCGCAGTATCCAGTGTAGAAAAACAAAGTAACGTTAGCATGGTAAATGCAACTTCACACGTCGTGGTTAAAAAATCAGAGGTATCTTTCCCAACTTCTGTAAAGTCGATGAATGATGAAAGGAAAAAGGATCCTTTAAAGAAGAAGTACCCAAAAGAAAATTTATTATCAAATTTTAGTTGAAAAATTCAGTGTTGTTTGGTTTTTCAAAGGTTCTTTTCAAAAATTGATATGACAAAGTCTTTCTGAAAACAAAATGTAGATGTTATTTGTGCTGGTAATGCCACTGGCTATCGTATTGAAATTAATCACAATGTCTGTGAGCACAATGAGAAAGAAAAATTTTGAAATTCATTTGCTCAATGTTTTTGGATTATCAGTCTCGCACACTCTATACATTTCTTAGAAATAAATATTTTCTTCCATCCTAGAACATCTCATTCCTCCTGTTTGATAAACATCGAGACCTTAATAATCAAAAGGACTGCCGAAGAGTTATATCAGAGTAGAAACAATTCGCTGTTATAGGCAAGCAAATTTTGGATCCTTTAAAGAACAGACAAAGAGAATACACATATCGAAATAATAGTTCAATAATTTAAATAATATATTTTCTGAATAGTCCACCATTAGAGAAAGTAACGAATTCACAGTTAAAATCGACAGCCAAAGTCTCTTCAGATACACACAATATTACTCCATTTGAACATTCAAAGCAGCAAAGTTCAACATAAACGCAAAGTAGCATGCGGCAGACATTCAATTAAAATGTGAACCACATAGTTATTAAATTTATCAAATTGTGTACATATACGTGATATTAGAATTAAATGAATTCATTCATAAATTTATCAATGCACAACATGATTTATACATAGATTCATCGCCGCACCAGCTTGAGATAAACAGTTTCTCTGCAAATTTCCAGGCAATGAACTCAATAGAACACCAGTACGATGAAGGGTGAGATAATTTACAATGCTATGACGTAATGAAGTCCACACGAGGCCAACATAAAGAGGCCAAGAAGTCTTTCATCCTTGTCAAACTCGAGCTAAAGATAATAAAAAGTGTGATTTTGTCACAAAGTCTTTGAAGGTACCTCACTACCCCATCCTTCTCATGTGAAAAAAATAACAAAAACAAAAACAAAAGCATGAACAGATCGTGAATGGCGCAGTCCGTCCCTCCAATAACACTTTGCAGACCGCTCCAACCGTCAGAGACGTCAGGGCAGAGTCTACGTGAAGAAAACAGCTATCATTAGCCTGTTCTGTTTCCAAGGCAGCCGATTATTATGACCAACAGCTACATTCTGGAACTGACTGTTGGTGTTATTCTAGAGAACCCAAGCTCTGGACCAGACAAGTGCAGTTTGAAATATTGTCCATCGCCAATATTTTCCCATCACAAACATGTAATAATAATTGTACGAACGTGAAGAGAGGTCAATTCATATTATGTTTAATTTACCGCTTGGTACATGGTGAGCTCTTGAGCTGAATTAATTCCGTTGTATACCGCTTTTGAAAAAATGCGTAACTTCATAAAATGACAAAAAGTTTTGACCTTTTCCATGACAGAAATACACTTGAAAAAGACATACTTTCCTTCCCCTCACATCATTGAATAACATTATACTCTCTGTTAGTCTTAGTTTAATTTTTAGGTCTTAGAAGATACTTTTTCTAATACTGAAATAAGAAATCAAATGATATTTCTGTATTTATCAATATCTATCTATAGGATGCCTAGCGGGAAAATGCAAATAATATATGACCAAATTATATTTAGATATTGAATTGCACTCTTGCATTCTGCTTGGAAGGAGAAGAGCTTAAAAATCATGACTTAGAGGCCCATGAGAAATCAATGTTCGGAAAAATTGGAGCTGGTGAAGAAGAAAAAGAGCCAAAACAAAGCTGGGGTGTTGGTTTCGGGGAGTATACATGACGCTTGGGATGCTGGTTCATCGGACGGTTTAATATCGATTGACCGGGCAGGGAAGCTGGAGTCCCAGAGAATTAGATTAATCTGGTGCCGATATGGCGCACCCACCCAACTGCCCTAGAACTGGTTCTCACTCTATTGTGTAGCGTGCCCCTCAGTTCAGAGTGGTCAAATTATGCGGCTATCTTTCCCTTCCCTTTGTCCCACAGTTTACTCGCTTTATGTTTGTCTGCTTTATAAAATTTTGGTTTGCTGAATTGAAGTGTTGTTTGAGTTTTCGAAGTCTAAGTCAAAGAAAATGAACGAATATGGGTCGACCAGTTGAAGAGGCACATCTATGTATTCAGAATATCTAGTTAATGCCTTTGGGGTTTTCAAGTCTAACTGACACAGATGTTTTTAGATACGACCGTGTTTCGGCAGCTTGGGAATGAAATAACTGATCACAGATGAAGATCAACTTTTAAAAATTTCGCAAGTATTCCTAGCCTTAAATAATTCAGTGTCATTAACAAACCAACCCCCAACTTCACATTCGTACTATTAAAACTGACATATGCTGACCCTTGGGACGAAAGCTTTAAACAAGATCAGCGCGATATTCTGCAGGTCTAGAAGGCTCATTTCTATCTGGTGTTCCAATCCTAACACTGATTTTTTTCGGCTGCCTTAATGGAGAACAGTGGCGAACTCCCTGAGCATCTGAGCCAGCCCGTTCGGAAGTGGCCTGGCTTTCTGATGTTCCCTCCGTCTGGCTGATAGCACACACTAGCAGATAAATACTATCAGATAGCAGACAATTCCATATAGCAGACACTGCCAAATGGACACTATCAGATAGCAGACGCTACCAGACAGTAGCTACTACAAGGTAACAGACTCTTCTACTGAATTGCTGACACTGTCATAGCAGCTACTGCAAAGTAGCAGACACTACCAGGTGGTCGACTCTAATAGATAGATACTACCAGACAGACCCTGCATGATAGCAGACACCACCACTACCAGAGAGCAAATACTACGAGAACAGAGCAGATCCTACAAGAAGCTCAGTTCCCTGCTGAGACCGAGCGGGTCTGGCAACTTGCCAGCTAGGCTGTGACTGCTACTGCTGCTGCTGGCGCCCACACTGCTGTGATCTTCTGGGGCGAGTGATGTGGAGGAGGAGGCTGTCGGGAAGGACGAGTGTGCCGGAGAAGGATAGGGCTGAGGTGTATGTCAAACGGCAGCGCCGTTACCGACCGTGGCGTACTGGCAAGCGGACAGGGTGGGTGGCTGGCGGGGTGGCATCGACGGGTAGGAGAAGGGGGAAGAGTGAGCCTTGGCTTTGAGGCGGAGCGCGGCGATACTGTTAGAACACTGATCACGGTTGTAGATGTAAGGCGGCGCGGGGGGCCCGTAGGGGCAGGGGGCTCCAGGGGAGTTCATGCTACTGGCAACGCCCCCAGTGCCCATCATGGGAGAGTTGATGCTGCTTATGGGACCCGGGGAAGAGGAAAAGCCTCCCAGAGGCTGGGTAGAGACCACTGAGGACAAATGAGGGTTCACCGGGCTGTTCATGTTCATGTTCAGGCCCCAGGGGAACGTCTTGGAGCTCAGTGGAGACGGTACTTTGGTCGCCCAGTTCTGGTAGGGGTAGCCTGTGTAGAGGCCATCGTCGAAGGGTGGCTGCATCAGGCCGTTAAACTGAGGTCCGAATCCCGTCTTGAACGTTTCCATATTGCGTTCTCGCTTGCGCCACTTGGCCCGGCGGTTTTTGAACCAAACCTGCAGGCGGAACAAAATACAACATGATTGCAAAGAAATTGATGAGAGGTTTGTCTTTAATTTTTCCTCGAAGAAGCTTTGATTTAGTTTGATGATGTGGACGTATTGCATAACATTTTATCCCCCCCCCAAACCCCTTTTCTCCACCCGATAAAAGGAAAAAGAAAAAGAAAAAAAAAACAACTGTCGGGCCAACAAAAACAAAAAAAAAGAAATAAAATAAACATATCGAAAATTTTCTTGGGCCAAGACAGCAGCCAAACATTATTGTTCCATAGAAGGATAGAATGAATTAATGTTGCGTTGCCAATAAAAACATACAGTAAATGTATTAGATGTTGCAACGTAAGACTTCACTTTTCAGATTCGGTATTGTACCGACAATGCAAATACAATAGATCGGAATTCATTCAGTTCACATCACGTGAGAAATCAAGTAAAATTAACCAAGGAATCGGACTCTCCCGACATTGTTCCATGATTAGAAAGGAAACCTGTGGATTTGCTTAATCGCAATTACTGTTCCAACTCAAAGGAACTCCATGGCCGGGTGAGATTAACTCTAAGAGATAATATTTATGGTTGGGATTATTGCGAAGTACGTCACGGGGTGATCCGCTCTTTGTAGAAACAAGAAGGGAAAAAGAGAGAGGGGGGG